TTGTAACACAATACAAAATACAACACCATTAATTTAATTTTATTTACATTTCAGAGTTATTCAACTGGAATAAATTGAACACAATTTGATTGAAACTGTCCTGCAGGAGTGACTTTAGGCATATTCAGCAAGAGTGCTTTTTAAGTAATGGCAGCATTTAGTACACAAAAGACAACCTCTTGAACTGGAGGTTTTGCAGGAGTTGTTATCCAATGAGGGAAAAGCAACAATGCCAAACATAGGGCTAAGCTGAACACTTCTTCTCTGGAGCCCACTTTTAATTGCATGTGCCTTCAGAAGAGACCTTGGCCAGAGAGCATGATGACCACACACATACAGCTCCTGCAGAAAGGAGTTCCTAACTTGGGTGTTTCACTGGCACAAAAGCATCAGCACTCTGTTAAACTCTTCAAGTGATGGAAAAGGCATGAGGAAGGTCAATGTTTGTTCTGTAGTGACCCTCAGAATTCCCAGTCAATGACGGGGAAGCTGTTGTGAAGGCACTTTGCAGAACCAAATAGGCCATTTCTACCTTTCAGGTGTATGTAAAGGGCAGCAGGTGCATCTGGGCACACAGGGCAGTGGGTTGTTTGGTTTGGGTCCTGTTTGTCAGTGTGATGGAGAGCAGCCACATTGCTGGCAAGCTTTTCATAGGCAACACAGTAAAGGAGTGTTTTCAACAGAGATTTGGAAAGATAATGAGGGTATTCTGCTGCTTTTTACCAAGATTCTTCCAGCAAGAAAAAAAAAGGCCCAGAAGTTGTTTCTATAAAAATATTAACAAGTGAGAAATAGAAACTGACAGAATGATGAGAAGGAGACAACATTGTCATAGCAAAGGAGAGCTCTTTGGCAGGGTGGGAGGGGGCTTGACAGAAAAGACAAATAACTTGTGTCTGATGGAGTAAAGAAGAGGAATGTAGTAGAAAGGAGCAAAGAATGTGTAATTCTTTGAATGTGAAAGAATGCGAATCCAACTGATGAATTAGGAGGATGATCTTTATAGCAGTATTTTTCAGGGATGTGCACAGACTGAAAATATACTTGACAAGACCAAAGAGAAGGATGTTTCAGTAAACAAAATGTAAGACAATTGGATTTTAGCCAGGTTAGGTAAGGCTATCTGATGTTTTTTAATGGGCAGACTAGACTACTAGCAGCAACTTTCTTATCTTGCCTGGAAGTGAAAGGAAGAGTTTTGAATCAATTTTTCCTTCTGATTATCATTGGGTTTTGTTCCAAATTCTGACAGCTTTGATGGGACACTCCCATTCACATCTGTGGGAGGACACAGAATCATAGAATTTTTCAAGTTGGAAAATACCTTCAAGATCATACATCAAGTCCAGCCATTAACCCAGCACTGTGAAGTCCAACACTAAAGCATATCCTTAAGTGCCACATCTACACCTCTTTCAAATAAGTTTAGGGATGATGACTCCATCACTTCCTTGGGCAGCCTGTTCCAGTGCTTGATAACCTGCTCGGTTAAGGTTGAAGGATCTTTGAAGTCCTGCCATCTCTGTAACTGAACTTGTGTAAGTCCTGAGTGAAAGCTGGAAGATATTTCTGTTAGGACAGGTGAGTGAAATTTGTTGGTGCTGATTTGGTGGTGTCTAATAGGTGGGCACTCAAGGTCAATCCTTTTATGGAGTTAGCAGAAGAAAAAGGAAATTTTGTTTCAGACCACTGAGATTTTTGTGATCCTTCAGTGAGACATTTGATTATGAAGGAACAGAATTGCCATGCTATACCAAACAAATGAACCATATAGTTTAATAATCCTGCTGTGATAGGGCCTGTAGAAACAATTCAGATTAAGTACAAGGAACCTAGCAGAAGACAAGTAGGGAATCACTTGCCAAAAGGGGAAGTTTCTTTTTAATTCTTATCAGTTAGCAACTAGCCTAGGCCCTGAAGCAAGAGGGCTTCCATAACAAAAGAAAAAATATATTCTATTTAATAAGAACATCCCCAATTACATTATCCATATAAATATCTAATCCCTTTATTTAAATCCTACTAATCTCTTAGGCTTAATGTTTGTCATGGTTTGACACTGGCACAATGCCAGTGCCCCCATGAAAATGCAACGTATCAATTGAATGCTGTGAAATGCAATCAAGAACAGAGCAAAACAGGCCTAAGCTTAATAACAAAGGAAAAAAAAAACTTTATTAAGCTACCACTACTACTATAAAAGGAAAAAGAAAGGAAAAAAACACACACAAAATTCAAAATGAAAACCTTTCAAAACATTCCTCTTCCCACCACCCAACTCCAACAAACCACAGCGAGACACATTTGGACCCTTAATCCAGTCTTCACCCTTCCACATAATCAATACTGAGCCCATCAGGGGAGAGAGGAGTCTCCCTTGCACCATAGACCCCCAGGAAACACAGCTGCCACCTCTTGTGTTTCCATGTCACACATGGCACCGCCCAAACACACCAGGCCAGTGTGACACTCTCCTCTCCATGTCACAGTACTCTCACCACTGTGCATGGACAGAGACTGCTCATAGGGCCCCTTTAAGGATGCTTTGCCAAGGACCAACAGGAACAACAGTCCAGTGTCTCATTTTGGGACTACAGTCCCCCCCATTTCCCCTGGGGCCGAGGGTCCAAGAACAGAGATCTTCTTCTTCTCTGAGGACAGAGGGCATCATCACACCCTCCTCAGCTTTTCTCTGTTCACTCTATTCTTGTACTGATAGTTGCTGAAGCAGGTCTTTTGGCTCACCATTGCATCCCCGTAAAAATGCGGTCTCTGTTGCAGGAAAAATTGGTCCTGTCTATGGTTAACAAGAAAAACCCAGCCAAAAGCCACTCCATCATCTCCCCTCAACCTTCTTTCCCTAACATCTGAGGTCCCAGGCTGTCTCTCTTTCCTTCAAAGTGAGGAGGAATAATATTTCACAAAGCCTTCATTTCACAGGAAAGGGTTAAAATTCTCGGACTCCCCGGACGGCTGAAATCTCGGGCCAGGACTCCATCTTCAGTCTCCCACACTGGGCATATTTCCCCCCACCCTTCTCCTTCTCCTCTGCTGGCAAACTTCCAGGTGTCTGCAGGCTCTCTGTCTCTTTCCCTCTAGTTTGGGGGAAGAACAAAGACATCTCAGACGTTCTCCACCCTTCCATCCGCAGGAACTGGCCCAGCTCGGTTCCCGATCCTTCACCCCCTGGCCTACCTCTGCAGGCCACATGGCTTTTCCCCTCCCGCACCCGGCTCATGGCCGGGCAGGGGAGGTTTGCACTCTCTGCTGACCAGAACCAAAGAGAGCGAGTTCTCCTGGGAATTCTGCTTTTAAACCCTCTGTGTTCTCTGAGGCGTGTCCACCTTCAATTGGTCACCCCAAGTGTCAGTATCCAAACCTGACCTCTGAATGGACTGACCTCCTCCTTCCAAGAAAATTCTTTTCCCGTGTCAAACCATGACAACGTTATCTTATGGGAATGAGCTAATTAGGCACTGTATAAAATGTATTTCCTTGTAACAGTTTTATATTTGCTGCCTTATATTTCTATTGACCGTTCCCTTGTCCTTGTATTCTGGGAGCATGAATACTATTTCTCCTTCTTTCTAATGCTCACATTTTTCACATCCCAGTCAGGGACCTCCTCTCTGATGTACAACTTCCAGTGTTTCCAGATGTTCCCCAGTCAAACATCACATTCAGTTTGCTTTGCAATTTCTGCCTCTTGTATCTGAGAGCCTTATTCAGTGTCTTTACCAAACAGAAACCAGAGCAGGGGAAAATGATTGTGCCATTGATCCAATTGAAGGCATTACCATGATTGCAGGCTGATTAGGCCAATACTCTGAGTAAACTGGCATTATCTGCAAATTTGAGCACCCCATTATGCCTTGAGCAGGAGAATGCACTGCACTCTCACAGTTCCTTTCCTGAGGCATTACAGTTTCTGGAAAACCCTGCAAGTACCTGGGTGCTTTCCACCACCACTTTCAGAGGCACTGTTCTTGCACCTGTTCTTGCAGGATGCCTCTGCCATTGCTCCAAACAGTTAAATAGTTGCCATGGCAGGGATAAAGAGGTGCCTTGCTGCCAATCTTCACCAACTTTGAAACAGAATGCTTATTCTCTATGCTTTGTTTCCAATCCTTTTCCAGGTGTTTGATGCTTCTCCCTCTCACCTTTTACCAAACTTGCCTTTTTAACAGTATCTTTCTGGGGGAGTTGATACGTTTTTAAATGACCAAATAAAATCTGACAATTTGTTCACATCCTGTACAACCCTGCAATGGTACTGGAGTCATGATAGTAAAGCTTAGTTCTTGCTAGACTATAAAGAGCCAGCATAGAGCAAAATATAGAAATTGTGAAGGATTTCTATATTCTGGATTCAGTACAATATTTCTTCTGGCACTCATCCAAGCTTCTCCACATTGATTTTTTTTTCTCAGAGCTTATACAGGAAGCCAAAAAACCTTTACATTGAACCCAGAAGTAAACTGATCACAAGCCAAAGATAACTCCTCTCTCTGCAGCTATGTGAACCATTATAGCAGCATTTATTGAATGCCTTTATTTTTCTGGTTTTAATCTGCACAGTGCTGACAGCTCCAGAAAGATCTTTCTTAATGGACTTCAATAGTGATGCAGTGCTAAACTTATATATAGCACCTGCCACACCAAGGCATCCCAGTAGACTTCTCAAATAATAGAGTTTAAAACTTCTGCTTTCATAAGCCAAAGGCAAGGCTCAAGAGAACAAAATTAGGTTTAGCTTTTAAAATATTGACAAACTTGACGCTATTCATTTCAAGAGGTGAATTCATCACTGCTGGAATCAATTGCAAGGGATAAACAAGGGAAGGATCAGCAGAGTGTTGGTCAGGTCACAGCCACACACCTGCATGGGAATCCAGGAATGAAAACCTTTGTTCAATGTGCAGCAAATGCATATTTACAACTGTTTAACTCACTGCAATTAAAATCAGTCATCCAGAAAAGCAACAAGAAGTCTGAAGTCAGATTTGCTGTATGTTATTTTGAGCTTTCATGCAGTACCATCTATGCAATGGTCTCAAAGCATTCTACAACTTTCAAGAGGTTACATCTCCCCGACAGCAAAAGCATTAAAGGTATTGCAAATCAAGACACATAAAGATCAAGTGATCTGTGGCAATTAATTCATAGTAGTACCAATAGCAGATACTCAGGAACTCAGGTTCTCAGATTCCCCATCTATCACTTAGTAAATAAAGCTTCAGGAAACTCCAAGAGACCAATGTGTTCCATGAATTAGTTCTCTTTCACTTTGGTCCTAATCCTAAGAATGGATGTATAGGTGTTATTAAGGCTAAGATAGCATTAAAAATGGAAGCTTTTAACTGGTATAAAGGAGGTGTAATTTTCTTTCATCAGTAGGATCTCATGCTTTGAAAGACAAGAAAGCAGGAGAAGACCCAGAGCTTGTGTTTTCTGAGCAGACCAGTCCTCCAGGAATAAAATAAACATGTCAGGAACAATTTGTAGACCACCTGAAGAAAGAATACAAGGAGATGCTGAAATGTTTAGAACATTTATAAACACATTTAAACAGATCCTGGTAAAAGATTTTACCTCATTTCAAGAGAATAGGAAGCTTATTTCCTAGCTGTCTGCATGAGCTCATGGAAACTGCTTCTGAAAGGTGACTACAAAGTTCAAGACAGGTCACACTTTCCAGCAGGAAACAGGGCACATGCTTACTTAGTGTTACATCTAATATATACTTATTTTTGGTTCCATAGCTTCCAAAGTTAAATGCATCTTCAATTGATTACAGATATTTTCTTATTTTCAAGTTACTTATCACATGTCTAATAAATCTGTGAGCACCAATCAGTGCATCAAGCTACAAGCTCCCATTTGAAACTCTTGAAATATTTTTTTTTATAACGGCAATAAATGTTTTTGACTCAGACAGCATAAGTAACTGCATCTTACTGATATTATGCAGAACTGAGCTTGGAATAAGGCATTTTTATTTCTCTGCTGTAATATTGTCCTCTGTGATTTTCAAATCATTCTCAGACATTCTGCTGCCAGGCAAAAGGTGACATGTAAAATCAGCTACTGGAAGGAAATGGTATGACTGGGCAAAAAGTATGCACAAAAAAAAGGCAGAAAGAGCTCTTCTCTCAAAGATAAAGTTTATAACAAAACTCAATGAAAAAAAAAATAGTTTGGGGATTCAAACTATTCTTATCATCCCATATGGGAGCTCCATCCTTCCCCAAGGTCATTCACATTTTCTGCCTCCTATGAAGTTCATTTACAATCTTTTTCTGAATGTTTATTGAAGGTGTGAAGAGGGAAATATCTCTGATTGAGCTATGTCTAGTATGTCTAGCTAGGAACCAATTCACACCTTTCACCTAATCCACAAATTTGCAGCATCACATCTTTACACATATGGGTAGAGCATTTGATTGTGGAAACCAAAATGCTAACTTGGTGCCCTTGGGCTGTCCTACTTTTTTTTTTTTTTTTTTTTTTTTTTTTTTTTTTTTTTTTTTTTTTTTTTTTTTTTTTTTTTTTTTTTTTTTTTTTTTTTTTTTTTTTCTGTCAGGACAACAATACATCTGGGTAAGTCAGATAACAAATATCAAAGGCCCAGTTCTGTCACTTTATGAAAATATGGGAGTACTGTCAGTGCTATCCAATGAAGAAGGTACATCTTTGGATTAAACAGATCCAAACTATGAAGTATTAGTGGATTTGGATGAGAAAATTATGAAGAGATGTCTATGCCCCACAAAGATACAGCATAAAACATGAGGCACAGTCAAGCTCCCCTTGGTTCATGCATTAGCCTGCCTGAGCTGGGAAAGAGGCAGTATAAGCAAAGAAAGTGTATGCTACCTTTCATATCCAAAGCTGGGGCAAATAGTCATCAAGAAGCATAGTCATCAAGGTGCTGGTACTGATAAAGAAGGAGATTGGTCTGGGTCTTGGAGCAAAGATCAGACAGCAAAGGGGGCAAAGAATACTCAGGCGTATTATATAGGGGTGACAATGTCTAATAAGGTGGCCCTTCCTGAGACACTGCATCCCCAGGCAGCAAGTTTGTTGGGGGACTGAGAAGCAGCTTTAGCACCTTGCAGGAAGGAGAATGAATGATCACAGCTTTTTGCTAGGTTTTGTCCAGGGTTGGCATGGCATGGGACAACAAGAGAGGGAAAAGCAAGTTTAATAAATGGGTACTTTAGCCTGGGGCTTTTAGTGATTTTGTACCTGTAGAGGATTTTATATTTTTCATTAAGGAGCCCAGTACTTCTGGGCACTGTCACAACATAAACTACATAGGCAGTTCTGCCTTGATAAAGTTACCAGCCAGGAACAGGGAGCCAGAACAGACCAATATATAATGTGGGAGTCATCAGCAAACCACCTGCTTAACCAATGTCTAGCAGCCTGTCACCAGAAATAGAATGCAGGAGACTAACATGGGTGTAAGAGATTCTGCAGTAAATAATTATGGATTAAGCTACAGCTAACTACTTGTAATTTGTCTCTCATCCATTTTTATACTGCTTTACCTATGGCTGCTGTCCTCATGCATTTTACTTCAACCTCCAGAAAAAGAGAAAACTAGACGTAGACCTTTTACAGGGGTATAAATTAGAGCCCAGGTTTCAGTGTAAACTGAACCCAAACTGGACAGAGTTGAAACCTAGACAGCAGAGTTTAATTTTAGTAGTCCTTCAATGCCATCACATCTACAAAGCCTGTATTTTCCAGTCTCTCTATTGCCTCTCCTTTTCCTCCAACTTACTAGAAGCCATCTGCTTGTTTGTAGCAAAGATAAAACTCAAAATATCACAACATTCTGCATTGCTTAACTGCTTAGATCTCTTCAACAGCTTAAAAGGACACAACCTGAATGGACTATTTGCTGGGCTGTGTGCTCACTTGTGAGAGAAGGAGAAACAATGTGGTTTGGGTAAGCACACTGACACCTGCATGAATATCATGACACAGATGAAATCAGACATGGGAAGAGGCAAAATAAAGGCTTGGGAAGATGCATGTCCTGCTTTGGGGCAGATTAAACACAATTAGACCACCTCACTATCTGTTTTACAAGGCAGTGTACCACAACAGCAAGAGCTGCCATTAAGCTATCCCAGAGCAAGGTGACTGACAAGGCACACTGACAAGTGTTGATACAGGATCAAAGCAGAGAAAGCACAGTCCTTGTGAGAGCCCTTGGCATCAGGGGGACCAAGAAAACAAAATTAGACCTTGGGACAGATTGTGTGATTAAGCGGAGCTGGAGATAATTGTGTTTTAAAGATCTCCTGGGGAATGGGCTCAGAATAAATGCAGCAGCAGAGCTGGATCTGTAGCTATGTATAAAGCAACTGATGCATTTTTCAGCATAAGACAGAAATGGAGAACCATGGTCTACATGAGTTCATTTCTGTTGAGCAGGTCATTGTGCTGTTAACCAGATGTGCTGATACCAGTGATGCAACATTGTCCATTGTCCCACACAGGCCCTTACAGGTCCCAGGGCTATACTGAATGAAAACGTTGACAGGATACTAGTCTCCAAAGGTTATTGCTCACAGCCTGCTATTTGGAAATAATGCAGAAAGCTGGAGAATAAATAATTTTTAATCTGGTTAAAATCTTAACCTGGTTAACATCTTCTGGTTCTTGGTTTAAACACTACAACACTAGCTGGATGTTCACCCTCTTTATTCCTTATTCCTGACTGGGTGCCTTTTTTTTTTTTTACAGAGGGCAGACTTGCTACAAGCTCTGATATTCACAAGCATGATGGATGTCCAACAGCTGCCAGCTAGCTTAGCTCTCCCTATTCATTCATGTGATGATCAGTCAACAGGTGCTGAAATCATACTGGAGAAGTCTCCTGATCTCACAGATGTTATGCAGATGCACAGTGTTGCAGTAAAGATGAGCTGCTTCCAGTGGGTTTTGCTAGCAGCATGCCGATGCCTTCAGTGCACCAGATGTGTATACTAGCAGCAGCTCAGAATATAAAAACCACTGGCTCCCAGGTACTTAAGAGTTCAGCATTTAACTTCTGGGACCTTCTGAGAGCAATGCAGTCTACTTTTCTTTAAAAAGAGATACTCAGCTTTCAGTTTCAGCAGTACAGCCTCCCTTGCCTGGTTGCTGGAGCCCTTTTACCCAGTGCCACCAAGGGGCAGGTGAACGGCCCCGAGTGTGAGAGAAGCTAATCGCGCCCACTGCAGGAAATCAGCATTGCCCGGAAAGTGCTGGGGTAGAAGTGAGAGAGTCGCGGTGTGTGGCCTTCTGCAAGTAGGGAGGTGATGGGCCCATCCCAGAAATGCAGAGAGGCACTCTGAGAGTAGTAATGGCTATCAACACCTACACCAAATCATGCTCTTGAAGGACCGGACACCTTCTGATCCCAGAAGTGAATGAGCTTACTTGGTAATCAAAGTCGGTAACAACAGTACTTCACTAATCAGCACAGGCAACTCACACCTCAGAGCTGTTGTCTATAAATTGCCTTCAAAAGATAGTAGAAATTCCTGAATAGGGTTTTTCAAGATTTTCTTTGACCAGGACAGCAGAAAGCTTTCTTCCTTAGTGAAATGATTAGGCCTGGGCTGACACAGTCTTAATCCAGCCTTGACCATGGATAACAGAATTGGAAAGCAAAGCAGTTTGTCCCAGATCCCATTTTGAGGTGTTGAACTGTCACATTTTTTCAGAAATATAAGTCATTACAGACAAAGCCACTCTGACAGCTTTTCCCTTGGTCCTCTTAAACCTCTCATGTTAACCACTGCTGGGGGGGTTAATAAAGAAATTAATAAACTCAGCAGGTAACACAACTGACAGTCCCAGCAACACAGACAAGCTTCAGGAGGTTAATTGTGACAGTAAAGGCTGGAGGATTCCTGCTCAGATGTCTCTCAGTTTTTGTACTGCTTGCTAAGACCTCGCTGATAACTTTCTCTTTCCTATCCTCCTGTTACTCCTTTCTATGGTTTCTGCCTGTGGTATTTCCCTCAACTATTTTCAGCTTGTTAACCATTGACCTGTCCCATGTTCCACCTCTTCCTGTCAGCAACCTGCAAGATGTACCCTGTTAGCTGTTCTTCTGTTGAAAAGTTGTCTTTAAATTCAATAATCTTCCAGAAACTGATATGCAAACCCTGACAGTGATTTATTCTTTCTCTCCTGCATGCATAGTTTTGACATACAGGATCACCCAGTGTTTCATTCCTGTGCCAGTATTCAGCTCCACAACTGAGTGCAGGCATTTGCACTGGTCTTCTAGTCAGACTCTTACTCCACTCACACCCTCAGTTTATCCTACAGTCCACACATTTGGAGCCCATACAGGCCAGACTCACTGCTGACGTCCAAGATGCGTTTGAGTCGCTGGAACAGTAAGCTGACCATCAGAAAGTGAAGAAGCTGTGATGAGCCCATTTCTATCTCCTCTCCCCACTCTGAGACCTCTACCTCCCTCACCCACACACAAACACTT